AGGAATGCCCGAGTACAATACATGATGCCATGTTCCAGTAATCACTGGAAAACTCATTTCCTCCTCTCCCTCCAACCCCTTCCCCAGCTTAACTAATTTTTTTGTCTTCCTTTAGATCAGCCCTTTCACAAGACTCTGCAAGGAAGCAAAGGTTACCAGACTGGTGTTTGTTACACGGCATTTACATCGCTCTTGGCCAAGTCCAAGTTCTGCCCAGTTATTAATCCTCAAAACGCTCCTTTGAACTGGCCAGTAAATATTATCCCAGTTTACAGACAGCAAGCAAACATGGGAGAGAGGGGGTTGACTTGTCCTGGGCCAGGATCCGTAAGCAGGTGGTAGAACGAGATTTCCACTCCCAATTCCATCCCTCTGCCTTCGTGCATTCACATCCACGTGTGCCCTGTAACCCAGGAAGCACTCCAAAGGGTAGGAAGTGAGAGTCAGACTTTTCTGCATATTCAGATAGGACAGGGGCAGGCAATTATTTTGGACGGAGGGCTGCTTACTGAGTTTTGGCAAGCCATCGAGGGCCGCATGACAGGCAGTCAGGGGCAAATAAATATTAAATTTTCTATATTTTTTAGGGGGCCCACGGGCCGGATATAATGACCTGGCAGGCCACATGCGGCCTGCGGCCTATTTTTCCCACCCCTGAGATAGGACCATCTCAAAGCACAGCATTCATTTACATTCAGTAGTGTGACGCCTGGCCCCTACAAATCCAGGGAGTGATTTAAGCACGTTGCAGATTTTCAGAAGGAGCCCAATGCAAAACAAACATAACAACATCCAGTTTTTTAGGCCTTGCCTTAGCTGTTTGGGCAGTGTGGGTAGTTGAAGCGCCATCAGAAGCGCCGAGTCCAGTTCAATAGTTGAACTAAAAACTGTGATAGAAACAGTCAGAAGCTTTTTAGGATTATCACCATTATGGTCACTGTTATTATTACTGGAATAACCACCACCAACAACTTCAAAAAGGTACGGGTAACTTCTTTCCCTTACATTGGGAAAAGAACTGAAGCCCTTAACATTTATATGGATTTATTCAACTCATTCGCCCGAGTTGCAGGAATATGGGTAGAACTGGCAGGCCTACTCCAAGTCACAGACCAGAGGTGAAGCAAGCCAATAAGAACTTGAATGCTAAAATACCCGCAGCAGTTTTGTATGCTACAGTTGTCACAAAACGAGTGTCATACAAGTTCCCTGGCTTTCTGTTTAAAAGAATCCTACTCCATTTCTTGGAAACGACTCTTAACATTTTTTTCTGCACGTCTTTTTCCCTCTTTACATAAGTAACCTGCAATTTTGTATATGGTTTTCAATTCCAAGAGATTGGAGCAAGCAATTTCAATGCTACAGGGCATAAAAGAGAACCTAGATGGTGGCTTTAGAGCGTGCCCCAATTTGTGCTGCTACAGACGCCTCATTATTTCCATGTATATAACTGGCCCAGATACTACTCCCCTTCAGCAAGTAGTCCTGCTGACTTTGAAATCAGGACTGCCTCAGGGGGTCAAGAGCAGGATGCAACTCAACCAAAGGATGAAATATTTTCTGCAGCGGTTTAATAAAAATCCTAAAGTGCAACAGAAAGAAATAGCTGAAATTGTACCCTTCCTCAACAAGGAGTTGCATTATTTTGAGCTTAATTTTAGCCAACCGTGTGGACGCCTGTTCTGCCAGGAACAGCTCTGGTGCCAGGCTTAGTCTTAAAGGTATACTGAAAACAACATCTACCCAATAATCCCAGATGTGCAGAGTAAAGTACACACCTGTGATAAGGATCCAATGCAAACTTTTAATACCCCAAACTGCATGGTGCTTCCACTCACAAGAAGGAAAAATGGGTAATCTTCTCATGGTTTCCTTCTAATGCCAAATACTTTTTGCCCTCATTTTCAAATGTAAATTGGGGGGAGGGGGAGTTGTTGGTTTTTAAGCTTACAC